TGTATGTGTGCGTGCGTGCGTGCGTGCTTGCATCTGTGTATATGTTAGCGAACAAAATAGAATTCCAAATTAATAAATTAATTTCTCGAAAAATAATTGATCAGTTCTAAGTACTTTGCTTGAGTAGCAAAGTTTACGTGAACAGGAGGATAGCTTTAACTTTTTAACGAGATTCCTTCACGATAAATACTGAATTGATGACATCATAGTGACTCACATCTGGTGGTCTGTACACGTCGATCCCTGCTGCCAACTTCTGCTTTTGTGAGCTTATAATCTGCTTGTTGTACTGGGCCTAGACGAAAATAACAACATCCTCCCATTACTTACGGTGCACACAAAAGTGACAAGAGATTTTCTAGGAAGGCCAGGTTTTGCACAGAAGTACAGTACCATTAAAATAAATAGAAAAATCCTTGCTGCTTCACCTACAGAAGACAAATGATGAATCACAAAAAAGCTATTGTAAATAACAAGCGTGACTGGTGTAGAATAACAGCAGCCTCACATCTCAGTCAGGATGAAGCCTTAGAGATGGAGCCGGAGCAGCTTTGCACATACCTGTGTTTTCAGAGAGACAACCTCCGTTTCTAGCTGCTTTAGCAGGGCCTCAGACTGGCTGCTGGGACCAGTGGTCAGCAGCAGCAGGTCCTCTTTGGCAAGGTGCATTCCGCGCGGCGGCTTGCGCTTGATCTTGACCGGGTTGTGGCGGGATGTCGGACCCTGCGACTCCAATCGGCGTGCCGGACCCTGACTGGACCGCATCAAACCTGTGCGTCTATCGCGAAACAACAACTCTATAATTATACTGTAGAAATGCTGTAATCACACTGTCAGCTGCTGAGAACATATTCCCAGATTATCTCAATTCAGTAATCAAACCAGAACTTCTCTCCATTTCACAAAACCAGCTATTCCCTCTCTCCTCTTGTCAACTATGTGAAGACTTAAATATATGAACACATTGGAACAGTTGACAACATTAAAAGCTACAGCAAGACACGGTAACTCTACTAACTATTCAATCTTCATCCTTAATTTAACGATTCCGTCAACAAGTCAAAAAGAACTACATAGTATGGAATGGTCAATTATACCTCCAGTACTGATAGCAGGAATTGCACAGGGATCCTCGGGGGGTGGAATGGACCTGCGAGACAATTGCCGAGCAGTTTGAACAGGTTCCTTTGCCACCCACAGTACTGCCCTCCTCAGCCTTCTCATCCGACTTGCCGGCAACACTGTCTTCTGGTTTTACCTCAGACTTTGTCTTCTTCACCTTGTCATAACATTCCATATCGCTGTCGCTCGCCGACTCATCGCTGTATTGTATCAACAGCAGACACCATGGCTCAGCAAATGACTACAGTAGAACGGGGCTGTTTATAGCAGCTTTACTGTATCATATTAAAGTGATTACGTCACCGTATATAGTAAAAGTCAAAAAATGATGTCCACTTTTTCATAAAATGTAAGTGATTCTGTTCACTTTTTATGGTGTAATTGCTGCATTATACTTCCTATTTTGCTATTCTGTTCGATGTGAACATACACTCGTGACTCATACATAGCCCATACGCATTTAATGTCGTGATCAATATATCAAATCGGCCAGATTTTTTGGATTTTTAACTAGTTGAAAAACAATCTTATCAGGTAAGAATTTGAGGATACATTTAGTGTCATTAGTACTTATTTTTCATGTAAAAACATTGCAACAATTTTTTTTATAAATATACACCATAGAAAATGTGTGACGTAGTCAATTTAAGAGTAACATTATTTAATCTAAACATACCGCTGCTCTGTGAGTGACAGTTTCAACAACCAGTCTAGCTGTCTTTGTCAAGCAGAATGAAGTAGCAAAATTGTTCATGAATTGAACTAACAAATGCAAGTTTCTGCCTTCACAGTTACAGCTCATGGAATTTAGCATCATATTTGCATATTTGATAAGCTCCATAGGACGATGTAGCAATTACAACTACTGACTGCTGCTCTTTATCGACCATATCTTACCTGCCTGCCTGGCTTCCCAGCTTTCTCAGATGGCGATCCATAACACTCGTGCGAGAACGAGTTTTTTTCCAGTAGTAATAGTACTTCACCAGACTGGAGATAGTTTTATCCGGAAGCTGCAACAAACAGATTTTTCAATAAATTAGCTCAAGTTAACAAGCTAATTACTACTACTAAAATTAGCCAATAGAAACTTTCCTTTGAACAAATAATTAATCTCCCCCACAACAAATATAGCAAACACTCGTATTGCCAGCTCCTAGAAATAACATACAATTATGACGATTTGACATAAAACCATAATTTTAAATCTATTAGTTTTTAAGATTAACCTAAAAATTGCTTTCTATACCATTACAGGTTACATTTATGAAGATAGGATTATTCTATTCAAAAATATCTACATACCATCTGCTTAATTCTGTGAAAGCTTTTTCCATGGAACCCAAATGCTTGTTCAAATAGCACCTTATCCTCAACTGTCCATTCATCTGGGAAAGGAGTGAAGTTGGGCAGGTCTGCTAATGCCTTCTCTAAGTTGTGTTTGTGCCAGAACAGCATGCCCAGAGCCTGTAAAAAGACAATTATTTATATCACCAACATTACCTTTACTCGAGATAAAAGCTAATATATTTACCCCAACATTACCTACACACCTTTTATATAATAAACAGTATGAATTTAAAGGAATACTTGACTCTAGGTTCTATGGTTATTTGCAGTTGATTTAGGTTAAAATTACGCTTCATAAAGTTTTATGGTTCAATATTTATTAGAAATGTTTAAAAAAAATGTTTTACAACTGACGGCTATACCGTTGCTTACAACGATGGCGGTGTCACTGGCAGCGCGCCCACTGAAAAGTTGCGCAAAGCAACGTTTCGGCTGCAGGCTACAGACTGGGGTTTTGGCCTCGTTGCGCCGCCGCCGCCGCAGAGATTTCCTTGCGAGTGCTCTACCGGCTGCAGTTTTTCTCAGATCATCTTCAAATTTCGCATGAAGGTGCGTTATCGTAAAGCAAAGACGCCAATCGTTTTTGGTGTGGGCAGAGTCATCGTTGCCATGGTAATAACATTTTTTGTCGAAATATTCTAGAACCTGTAACTTCTGCAGTTTTTACCCGATTGTCATGAAATTTGGCACACAGAATCAATATATACTTTTTTTAATATATAGGACATGTTATATCGGCCCTGTGTCCCAAATTCCATGACAATCGGGTAAAAACAGCACAAGTTACAGGTTCTACAATATTTCCACAAAAATGTTGTTACCATGGCAACGATGACTCCGCCCACACCAAAAACGATTGGTGTCTTCGCTTTACCATAACGCACCTTCATGCCAAATTTGAAGATGATCCGAGATCGGGTAACCAGATTCCATATACTTGCACATCTGAGGCAGACCAGTTGTCTAACAAACCTTTGTCTTTGTGACTTATTGAACTTTACCTGCCTTCTACGTCCTTACAGAGATATTCCATTCATACTAGATCATGGGGGATACATATAGTTGGCGACAACTGCTCGTTTCTAGTTTATTATTGTAATAGCAGAAGGATTGCAATATATTATAAATGACATAGTTTCAGTTATAATATGGATAAATTTGCCCTAAAATGAATATCGTTCGGTTAAATATCATTTAGGTATAAATATAATTGCACTTAAATTGTGATTAGCCCTCGGTCTGTAACGTGCAAAATATTTTGGCAAATGCGCAACTTTTTCAGGGTGGCAGCACGGTCGCAGGTGTCATTGTCAGCGCCCAAAAATAAAGATTTCGAAATTCAATGTTGTTTTATGACAAACGTGAATGCGTAATTATAGATATTCATAGGTATGTGCTATTATTTATAAATCTACTATCATAATATACTCTCAAATTCTAGAGTAACATATTCCTTTAAAAAGACAGTAGCCTCTAGGATTTTACTGCATACAACTGTACTTACTGTATAACAATTAAATCGTCTATACCCACACGTATTTGTTACCAGATACCTAATTTAATTGTTGTAATTAATTACACATCAACGCTACAAAATTTGAACAGCGTAATGACACCCGCGACCGTGCTGCCACCCCGAAAAAGTTGCGTATTTGACAATTTATTTTGCCCGTTACAGACCGAGGGCTAATCACAAAAGTGCAATTATATTTATACCTAAATGCTATTTAACCGAACGATACTCATTTTAGGGCAAATTTATCCATATTATAACTGAAACTATATGTCGTTTATAAAATATTACAATCCTTTTGCTTTTAAATGAATAAATAAGAAACACCCTCGGTCTGTAGCCCTTGGCTGGAAAGTGGTTTTGCGCAACTTATCAGATCGTGCGCTTTGAGTGGCGCCACCGTCGTTGTAATCAAGCTGTAGTCGTTAGTTTTAAAACATTTAAAAAAAATATTTCTAATGGTGATTGAACCATGAAACTTTTTATGTAGCGTAATTATAACCTAAATTAGCTGAAAATAACCCTAGAACCTAGAGTAAACTCTCCCTTTAAGATTCATATAAATTTGGGAATTACGATTACTTCATTACATATTGTATATATCAGCACTTGTAACTGATAGTTCCATTAAAAAACATACAACAGTAAGTTAGTCAGTAATTATAATTGCTAACGAGACTATTAAATCCATGAAATATGCTGCAACAGCTCACCTGTTCCATGTTGTATCCATACATCTCTTTGGCGATTCTCAGGTACTCTTCCACTGCAAGTTGATGAAGATCTCGTTGCAAAATAATGATACATTTAATTTACCCATCAAATTGCAATCCTCTAAAATCTTTCAGCTTGTTATCTCATGGACATGGGCAATCTAAGCTATCACGATAAATTATAAAATGATAATAAGCAATTTTAATCATAATGACTATATCTATACTTACATTTGGCATCTACGTTCTTATCATCAGGCCTCCATATGAGAAGTGCTTTGTGTTTGGATTCTATCTTGATGTCTATAGTAAAGTAATTGTGAAATTATCACATCTATTACCAATCCACAATTCTGGATCTGGATCTGGATAATATAGTTCATGGCCACAGTGGTACAGTATTATGCACTGGAGGTTTCTGTAGAGATTACCTCATGCTTTCTGGATGCAGATTACGCTCGTGCGAATTTTGATTCTTGTAAATCGGACTAGGAATATGCTGAACTGAATGAAACCGAGGGCCATGATTGCTTTATCTCCTCAGTGATTCTTTTATGCCCCCATTACAGACAGAGATGGGTCACCATTTTACATGGATTCACACAAGGGATTCATAGTTATCAGTGTTAAGAGTTAGATATTTACACCATGAAGAAATTCACATTATTTATATTAGTCTTTCAATTCATATTATTTTTTTTTATAAAATAATATATGAAGATATTTGCAGACGTGTGTGCACAAATGGGCCCCCGGTATTCATTTTCGCAACTGTGCTAAACTAGGATAGGGCCGACGCGTGTAACAGTAGAATCCAGCGTCGCACGTGCATGCAGATTCTAAAAATTCTTTGGCGGAATTCATCAAAGTAAAAGGATTTTTAAAAACCACATAGACTTCGGGCAGTTATTACAGTAAATTTTGCATACAGAATCAATATTTCTTGCCTGAACTTAAATTAATATTGTATTTTCTTTGATTTATGCATGGTTGTTCTTTTTCTGTCTTCAATATGGTGCCTTGGATAATATATCAGACTGATATGGACTAATATCAGGTTAAGGGTATGTCTAATTTTGAAAAAATATTGTGATAATTGTGAGCTGTGTAGAATGATTGTGAGAAGTAAATAATTGTGAGATGTGCCCTTGTGATAATCCCTAGTAGTTACTTAATTACCATCTTTGACATATATACAATCCATATATTTTGGGTTGCCAAATGTGACATCTAATAATAACTTTTTGGCGCAGGTATGTAATGTATACTATCTAATCAAATATAAAAATTGTGCTGGGAAGACTGCTGGAAAAGTATTTCTATTTGTAACAAATAATATGAATAATAATAGTAATTAGTATGCTGTTTAAACAATAAACATGCCACCTTTGTAGTCCTGGACAACTGCTTGATATTCCTCTCCAATGCGCATGCCATTATCTGAAAAGAATTAATAATGGTAATTAAAACCTTGATATCGCTACTGCTACTCAACGGGTTTCAAAAGCACAAGCTCTTGGAACGTCTCAATAAAAAAAGGTAAATAAACACGAAATGTATTTACTACCAGTCTTAATATTTCTCTACTCTATTTCGCCTATAATCACCTGTAAATGCCGGTCAAATGCTCACCTGCAACACACAAGTAAGCCGCACGCTAGCTGCTGCACACTGACACATAAATATATAGTAGAACATATAAAAATATAAAACAAAACTATAGGCCCCTAGCCCTATATTTATGTGTCAGTGTGCAGCATCTAGCGTGCGGCGGCCAGCGTGTGACACTGTCACAGTGTGTTGCAGATGAGCATTTGGACGGCATTTACAGGAAATTGTCGGCAATAATAGGTGAAAGAGAGTAGAAAAACATTAAGACTTTGGTAGTAAATAGATTTCGTATTTATTTAGCATTATATTTTAATGAAACGCTCCAAGTGCCTGTGTTCAAAAGTGGAGCCCAGCTTCCAGCTTCAAGCATTTTGGTCTACGGTGGCTGAGTAGGGAAAACTACATCGCTTACCTTCGCTTGAATCAGACCCGCTTTCATCGTCACTAAACTGTCCATTTGGGCTAGGCCTTCGAGACCTGCGACCATTCCTGATGTCTTCCCCGTTTGCACTAGCCATCAGCATATCGTTTGATGGTGCAAACAAGTAAGAAGTTACAATAAAATTAAATGAGCGCAGCTCTCCTTCCCTCTCTGTTCCGCTACCAACCAAACAACCTACAACCATGCGTCGCTGAGATATAGGTCTGCAATTATTACAGTTTCACCTTAATTAAGCTATGTAATTGTTAACAATAAATTCGAATCCTAGCCAATACCACATTTCTCGTTAAATTATAACCCATTCATAGCGATATAACGTTGTTAATTCATGTGCAACTGACACGCAATTCCCAACACCTGCCTTGTGTATTACTCCGCCGGCATAAATGTAGTTCGTATAGCGATTTCTTTGGTACTCTCGAACGATATATTTTATATTGCCACCGACGTTTCTGCTAAATAAATGCTACGAATAACCCCCGCACAGACATAGATGTATTGCATCGTTATATTTATGTATTATATACAAAGCTATTATAAAATCTTATTGATTTTTCTTAGAAATGTCATTTATTTTCTAGCTGCGACATGGCGCTTTCGAACCACCGTATTATAGCACCTATTCTGAGCGTACGTCGGTACCTAATGTTATGTCGCCTACTCACAGACTCGATTGGCACAGTACTCAGGCTACTGTAATAATCATATAACGCATGAACCGAAAAACAAGCTTATCATCCAATTGCATTATTTACTGTTCAAAACTGTGACAACCTCTTATAAAGCACTGTAATAACTATATATTTACTGATATCACCAGACCACGTGTACGCTTTTTTACGTTGCTGCGTGGCCACGTAGATATATAATATATGGGCACGTATAGGCCTATATGAACAAGTGTATTTATGCTTGCTATGACCATGCATATGCAGGGGCGTGTACAGGGGGGGGGGTCCAGGGGGTCCGGACTGCTCGCGCAGAAAACGCATCTAAGGGGGTCTAATTTCAAAAAATTTCTGGGGGAGGCCCCGCAGACCCCCCCCCCCTTCGCGTGCTCGCAAGTTTGGGTTACGGTTAGACCCCCCTGGTACAAATACTGTACACGCCCTTGATATGGCATGTACATATATATTATATTATATATGTATCATCATGAGTATTCTCACATGTATCATATCATTGCGTCGATATGTACTGCTTTTTCGCGTGTTATCGAGAACCTGGCGTTGGTAGACTTGGTATAATTAAATTAATTGTCGATGATACTGCATTGCATACGATTCACCGATTCAATGGGGCACTGGCGACCCCCCTTTGGCCAAGCAAAGATTTTACCGTCTGTTGTTGTGGCGTGACTTGTCAGTTGTCAAGTCAATTGTTGCTGTCAAATGCACAGGAATCGCATCTACGAAGTTTCGTATGATGAGGATAGCGGGATGACCTCCGGACCACCTCCCCCTAACCACGGGCTTCACAACGGTGAACCTCGTTGTTCGCAGGGAACTCCACCATTTAGGCCTGGGTCCTGGATCCGCCACTGTTGATTGTTTTATTAGTGGCATGGCAGAGCAAAGTCCAAGACAGATAGAGTGTCCATTCTCAGCGAACTACGACGATTTCCATTTCATAGCGTATTAACAGAACCGGTTTAGAAGTGCTCCGTGTATAGTCAGGCCGGGCTGTAGGTCTTAATAAGGAACTCTCTCATGCAATTTATTTAGATTCTCTATCATCATTCACAGCTATTCCGCCAGCTGATCTGTTTTTAACGCAGGTACGCCCTGCGTTCTCTGTGAACCGCTTGTTACACGAAGTAAGCTACAAGCAGATGTTGTAAATCCCTTTACTTGCTTATGTGAAGATTCCAATTCTTAACTTGTGTAATAAGATACGATGACTCTTCAGATAAATACTGAGTTGAGCTCCTAGTATATCCTCTAAATATATCGGTGTGGACAACGGCTTCCAGATAAACTCTTCTTCATTGCGGGTCTTGGGAAGACATGAATTCGAGCTTGTTTGATTTTTTTCTGGATGCCGCCATTTGTACGGGAAATAAAGAAGTATGTGAGATATATCAAGGCACGCAACTCCTGGGTATACGACTGGCGCTGAGAGGGTCTATGTCCCCCAGGGTACTGCCGGAATGTACCCTGGGTACGGTCCGGTATACTGGAACGTACCCTGGTACAGGGGCGGCGCCAGGGTATTTGCATAGGGGGGGCGAAACCAGGGGCGGGTAGAGGACCACGCGAAGGGGGGGTCTGGGGGGCTCTCCCCC